ATGCATTTACCTGAAAGGAGAGAGAGAGGTGTTCGAGAGCCCCTTCTAACATCTTTCAGCTATTTTTTAATTCAAGGGCCGCCCTTGATTTCTTTCCCTTAACTTCGGTATAGTGGAAATTTAAAAGCTCCCTTTCATTTTTGAGTAGGGCCCAGAATTCAGGTGAAGGTTTAGTGCTTCTTGACATTTGCAAGGACGTGGGGATTTAACAAAGTGTTGGTGCCAGGCAAAGTGCAGAGATTCATAGTGTCCTGAATGACCCAAGAGTGGCAAAATGTAAGTCCCATGTCCTGTTCTAGCTAAGAGTAGATCATGGCTGCTTTCTTGATGCTCTCTGAGCTTGATAATTTTCTTGTAAATATTTCATTACCAAACTAAGTAACATGTACTAGAAGGGAGTGGGATTTGCTCTCATTTTATATACCAATGGTTTGCCCTCTTGGTGGTGATGGGAGGGGTCTTGGTGTTTCCGTGATTAGGTTGTTTATTGTTACGTTGGTTATCTGTGTTGGTAGTGGCTTGATTAATTAAAGTCTAATCAAGACCAATTCCCAACACTGCCACCGACAGGGCAATCTAATAGTATATATAAACTGAGTACAAAGCTCACTCCCTTCTAGTTCTGATGATGTTACCTAAGTGACTAATGAAACATCTGCAAGAAAATCAAGTTTTGAGAGCATCAGAGACTCCACAATTCAACCCTGAGCTACAAATACTCCCTCCCATAAGAGCAGACTTTTACTTTAATGCAAATTTTCTATTGCTTTGAGCAATGGTCTTGCGGGAATCGTAGTTAGCAAAGGGGGAGTCTTCTAACAAAATTTAATTGTTGTACATTAACCAGTGATGGGCAGCCATATAAATGTGATTAATAAAATTGGTTGCAACAGGAATTGGCCAACCTGCCTATTGCTCAACTCTGGCATTGTGGGCTGAGCGAAAGTAAGCAGCCCAAAGTCACCCAGCTAGTTTTCATGCCTAAGGCAGGATTAGAATTCACAATCTCCTGGATGGATAAATTAACCCTGATGTTACAAGAGAAAAAGGATTCTGAGTATTATAGGATTTGGAGAAAATGGTACGATTGGATTGAGCTAAGATAGATGATGAAAGAATTAATGTTAAGCATCAAATAGGTTAAATGTTTACATTCGCATAAATTGTATGTATTTGTAAATAATGTACAAAATAAGAAGTACGGGAGATGAATGTCACAAACTGTCAATGTCAAGATATGTTATAACCTTTGTTTTTAAAAGACATAGAAGATTAATAGTTTATTTTTTTTAAAAAAAGAATTCACAATATCCTGATTTTGAGCCTGCTGCCTTAACCTCTAGACCAAACTGGCTCTCAGTGTGAAATGGTGTTTGAATTTGAAGCATCAGAAAGTTATTCTTCATGACTCCAAGCTTGGGTGAGATCTTTTGAGATAAGTATCCTCTTTTGGGAGCTACAGAACAGTGTTAAAAAGAGCATCGGTGGTGATCATTTCTTACATTGCAGAAATCTAAAGGATGATAAGCAAGAAATACTGAAAATATTGACAATTTAAACTGTCAGCTATGGACATAACATTTTGGCAGCCTGGAGCCGGTATCTAAGAAAATTTGCCTGGTATTTTGGTCTGGGGGTCCCAGAATTCCTTTCTATTGTCCATGCAGGCTGGGACTATTGAGAATTGATGTCCAAAGCTTACAGAAAAGTGTTAATGTCTCTCTTTTGCAACTACTCACTGTACCTAAAACTAATGTTCTGGCATAAGAATCAGGAGACATAGTTGATGACGTACTTCTCTAAGATCCCTTTTGTAACAATAGTTATGATAAAAGGCAGTCTGCTAAGTCTTTTTTTTAGTATTTTATTAGTTTATCCAAATATAAAATACAAAAGTAAAAAGCGAATGAAAATACAGGTAATCAATCCTTAACTTACAGCAGTTCATTTAAATGACCATTCAAAGTTACAAGGGCACTGAAAAAAGTGAGTTATGACAGTTTTTCACATTTATGACTGTTCACCCATTGAGGGACTCAAAAATATCCTTCCAATGTCTGTTAAGTCTGATGTCATTCTGCGGTTCTCAGATTGGAGCACCAACAACTCGAATATCATTGCTGCACTCTGTTTAGCAGTTTTCAGCATACAAAAGGAAGCTTATTAAGGCTAAATAATTAATTTGAATAATTGAGATTTAAGTAACTAGCAGTGGAAAACAAAAAGGAAATTGCAATTTTTGAATTATTGTGTGCATTATTAGTTAGCTTCCTTCTTTTTTGTTTTCTTCTTTGTTCTTATAAAAGCCCATCTCTCTCTTTCTCTCTCCTTCTCCTCTCCTCTCTCTGTATCTATATATCTCTATCTCTAAATATGTATGTCTATCTATGCCGATAAAGATAGATAGATAGATAGATAGATAGATAGATAGATAGATAGATAGATAGATAGATAGATAGATAGA